CACCTGCGTTTTAAAAGATCCCAAACCAATGAAAGTAATCCCACATGTTTAATGTATTCATCTTCAATAATTGAATTTCCATTCATTGACCACCTATGTTGTTTCTAACCTTTCCTAAAACCATAATCTGTGTTTCACCATAATTAATATTTAATTATCCATTATACAATGGTGGCACATTTCACTTATTTACCCTCTCAGACCTACATATCAGGAGGAAATAAGGTCAGCATTATCAGCAAACCTTAGCAAGTTTCTGGCCTGCCCTCCAAATACACTGAAGTGAGTAGTAATACTGGATTGAGTGCTGGGGGGGATGGGAATTTAATTTAAAGCAATTAAAGCTAGATCCCTGCTGCCTGGATTAGCACTGGTGGTGGGGAATCAGGTGGTGACTTTTAGTATTGAAGGCTCCCTCCCTCCCTGTCCCAGGGCTTCCAAAGGCTTCCTCAGGGCAAGTAACCTTAGGGAGACCCTAATCCAGGTGTGTATCTTAAACATTAAAACCCTGAACAGCTTGGGACCTGGCAATCTAAGGGATCACCTATCTCCCAATGAACCTGGCCAAATGGTGAGATAGCGTCCTCAGGAGAGGCACTCTTGAGAACACCATCACCCACAGAGACTCCCATGATAGGCACAGAGGAAGAAAAGAAGGGTTTCTCCTGTGTGGCTCTCAGTTTGTGAAGCATTCTGCCTCAGAGTTGTCACCCCACTTTTCTCACACAACCCTTCAAACCTTACAAATTATTTCTCAATTTTGTTTCATTGGCCAATACGTTTTCAATGATTATTTGCATGGATTTATTTCTCGTTCTAGGATGTTATTAGCTGATTTGAGCTGTACTTTGAGTGGAAATGAAGGAGGTGTAACAAAATTTAAAATGCCAAGGTTTTTCACAGAGATCTCGAGATACAAAATCTCACAATAAAACAGACAATGCTGTCGTTTATACTAGTTGAAAGCAATGTCTCCCACAGACATTCCCTACTAACCAAATTAAAATGTGGTCTTCAAAACAGCAAATGTGAAATACAAAGAACCTTTCTTTCCCTCACATCGTGCACAGCTCAGCACAGAAGTGATCAAACAGGGACCAACTGGTGACTTTTCCACTCTAAACCCTATTTGTTCCCAGGCTGACTGCCTCAAGCCAGTCATTTTCAGCCAATGAGGTACACCCAGTTTACTTACAAGTTAAAGTAAATAAGTTGGCTTTTAATTCACCTGGCCAGTCTTTTATAATTTGTATTACATGTCTGAACCACAGTTCCTCCCTTCTACCCTTTAGGAATCTTTCTAGTCTCATTATCACATTAAACAAACAGAGGCACAATCCACCTCCTCTACTGCCTAACATAGGCTTCAACAGTTCTGGCGAGTCAAATGCCAGAACTTTTGAATTCTTCAGATAATATATCAAATACAGTACTGTATACTCAATAGCAATGCATCTACTTCTTCAACAAACATGGGCAACAGTTCTTGGGGGGAAAAATGGAAGGCAGCTGGATTAGCACTAGATTCCTTGGCACTTCCGGTTCACTCATATGATAAAGTACTTCTCAAGTGAAACATACTGGAACTAATATT